TTCTCTATTTGCAGAACTATAACTTTACGTCAATGTAATTACATTCAATTTCTTACCTGACATATTTTCATTCTCCACCTTTTTATTGGAAGTAATTTTGATTAGTTTCACAATTAAACCTCTTCATAAGTAGCTATTACTATAGATTACAGTCTATATAATGATGAACATGATGAACAAAGCTTCTTTTCCTAACAGAGCAGAGAAACTCTTCCATTTTGGGAGAACGGCACAGGAAAAAGAGAAGCCTGGCAGAATGGCTGGCATGGCTATGACAATGAACTGATGGACATGAGAGGATTCTTCCTTGCATTTGGGCCAGGTATGCCAACCAGAGGATTAGATAATCACTATAAAGATCCTGTCCCTTTAAGTAGTTCCTGTTTTGGGGTGGTATTAATTGCATGTGGATAACTGTGGTTCATTGAGTAGGTGACCACTAAAGAAAACAGACAGAAATACTCTGTGCTTCATCAAGTAACATTTAACTTGTTTCAGCAGCTTAAGGACCAACCAACTTCCCTCAAACGTCTGCTGGCCATTATGATCCATTTAGAGTGCCTAACCAAATACATTTTTCCCCGTTACTGCAGTTATGACTTGCTGAAAAGCACAGAATAGGAAAAGCCAAATCTTGCAACGTTTAGGATCTCAAATATTTTAAAATCCCAACTCTAGATTTATCAAAAGTAACAGAAATGTATACAGAACTGCTTTCCTAGATCCAGAGCACTCAAACATTATCCAAGGATAATGAACTGTTCCTTGTGCATTAATTATACTCCTGTCAAAATTTAGCCCAAATATACTGAAGGCAAATCAGTGGTGCAAAAGAGATTGAATCATGATCTTCAGGTCCAACTGCCTTTGATTCACCTTATCTGAAGAACTGCATAATTCACGTGGTTCTTCATTACACAAAACCAAAAGTCAGGAAAATTATAATAAACCAGGTAGTTTGTTTGCTTAGGGTCATCTGATAATGTATTTCACTGTATGGCCGTAACTGGACACACAAATCAACTGGTAATCAAAAGCATGGAAGTTAAATATTACTGTTAAAACCACCCCTCAAAAATGAAGGTTAAAGTTATTAAGGATAGCATTTGAGCTATATAAGGAGAAGTAGGAAATGCAGACAAGATTAGTTTACAGAAAAAATTCTTGGCTGGATTCTGTCCAAGGCTATTACAACACAGAAAGGAATGAAGCATGTTTGTTACCGTGAACGTCATCCAACTGGACTAAGATTCTTCTGGAAAAGTAATAGTAGTTGTTACATGCTGTCAAGTCACCGCTGAGTTATGGCAACCTTAGGTAAAGGTAAAGGTTCCCCTTGACAATTTTTGTCCAGTTGTGTTCGACTCTAGGGGGTGGTGCTCATCCCCGTTTCCAAGCCATAGAGCCAGCGTTTGTCCAAAGACAATCTTCCGTGGTCACATGGCCAGTGCAACTTAGACACGGAACACTGTTACCTTCCCACCGAGGTGGTCCCTATTAATCTACTCACATTTGCATGCTTTCAAACCGCTAGGTTGGCGGGAGCTGGGACAAGTGACGGGCGCTCACTCCGTCATGTGGATTCGATCTTACGACTGCTTGGTCTTCTGACCCTGCAGCACAGGCTTCTGCGGTTCAGCCCACAGCGCCACCACGTCCCTATGGCAACCCTATGAATGAGAAATCTCCAAAGTCCTGTCCTCAGCAGCCCTGCTCACCTCTTATAAATTCAAGGCTGTGCCTTCTTTAGAGAGTTAATCCAGCTCATATGTAGTCATACTTTTCTCCTGATGCTTTCCACCTTTCCCAGCATTACTGTCTTTTCCAACAAATCTTGCCTTCTCATGATGTTCCCAAAGCAGGACACCTTCAGTTTCATCATTTTGCCTCAGGAGGTAGTTCAGACTTGATTTGCTCTGGCCCTCCTCCAGCACCATATTTCAAATGAATCAATTTTTTTCCTATCAGCGTTCTTTAATGTCTAACGTTCACACCCATACATAGTGACTGGGAATACAATAGTGTGGTCTTGGTCTCTAACGATGCATCCTTACACTGGAAGATCTTTCTTAATTCCTTCATTGCTGCCCTTCCAAGACTTAGTCTTCTTTGATTTTTGGTTGTTGTCTCCATTTGGTCTGATGATTAAACCAAGCAAGGCATATAAAATCTTTCACTATTTCAATCTCTTCATTGTCAATGTTAAAGCTGTGTAGTTCTTGTGTAGTCATGATTTTTTGCGTTCTTAAAACTCAACTGCAGTTCTCCTTTGACATCCTTCTTTCACTTTCACTAAAAGTCATTAAAAGTCATTTCTGCTTTTTGCCAGTTAGATGGTGCTATCTGCATATCTTATATTATTGATTACGTATTAAGATAATCAGGGGACATCCACTCGAGTGTTGGGAGAGTGAGAATAGACAAAAGAAAATATTGTTAGCATGTTGTTAGTCTGTGGAACTCCTTGCCACAGGATGTAGTGATGGCATCTGGCCTAGATGCCTTTAAAAGGGGATTGGACAGATTCCTGGAGGAAAAGTCCATCACAGGTTACAAGCCATGATGGGGATGTATAATCTCCAGGCTTAAAAGGAAAGTACCACAAAAGGCCAGATGCAGGGTATCAGGAGACAGGTATCTAGTTGTCTTGTGTGCTCCCAGAGGTGTACGGTGGGGTCACTGTGAGATACAGGAAGCTGAACTAGATGGGCCCTTGACCTAATCCAGCAGGGCTCTTCTTATGTTCTTAGTGTTGAGGCACACACATTTCTGTTTGAACAACCCATATTTTCTCATGACCCACACAGTCAAAGGCTTTGCTGTAAAGCATAAATTGATCTTCTTCTAAAACTCTTCGATGTGCTCCAGTAGCCAGTGGATATTTGCAATATGATCTTGAGTGCCTATTCCTTTTTGAATCCAGTTTGTACATCAGTCGCTTCTTACTGCATATAAGGTAAAAGCTTTTGTTGCAACATTTTGAGCATCACTTTGTTTGCATGGGGAAATGAAGCAATGATCTTATAGCTATTGCTCTTTTTGGCATCTCTTTTCGAATGGAATGTACAGTATATTGAATGTTGCCAGTCTATGGGTCATTGTTTTGTTTTCCATATTTGTTGGCACATTCTTTTTGACAGATTCAGTCTCTGTGGCTTGAAAAAGTTCTGTTGTATTCTATCTACACCCTGGTGATTTATTTCTTCCTAGTGCTTTCAGAGCAGCTTTCACTTCACTTTCTAGAACTTCAGGTTCTTCTTCATCAAAAGATTCCTCTTCAAAGGCATCTGCCATCCTTTTCTGTATAGGTCTTCTGTTTACTGTTTCCACCTTCTCTGGTCAGATAGTGTGCTTCTTTGTTGGTCATTGAGCAATCCTAACTGAGACTTAAATTTCTCTTTGATTCCTTGGGATCTTCTGGAAGAGATGTCTTCTCCCCACCAACTTTTGTTCTTCTTCTTTATTTGCACTGATCATTGTAATAGTTCTCTTTTTCTCTACATGAGTCACTGAAAACCTGCATTCAAGGTTCTGACCCTATAGCTGTCACCTTTTTACATTTGCTTCTCGCTTGTCCTTTACAAGTCTAAGTGTTTTAAGTCGAAAAGTAAAAGTAGGATAAAGGGACAAACTAAAGTCTAGAGCCAGAGATGAGATTAAAGGGTTTTGCAATACGTGATAGTTGAAAACACCACAAAATGAGCACAACCCAGCAACCAAATACTGCTCAAACAAAGGTTCTTTATATATCTGTATCTGGTCAAAGTTGCAAACTCTAAATACAGGAGGTTCTACCTTCGTCATCTAGAAATGTCTGTGGATGGACCAGCAGCTGAGCAGTTATTTTTATTCTGTTTCATTGAGGCTCTCAATTAGGAGTGCACAACTGAGGTCCTCCAGATGTTTTGGGACAAAATGTTTCATATCTATGCATCCCTGGTTTGAATTGCTCAGGTTGTAGGCATAAATGAATAAATATATAAATATTGGGAGGACCAGAGATGCCCACTCCAGCTCTACATGGCGAGTAGAATTTTTAATGCAAATTCAGATACAATATGATCAGATCAGTTGGTATAATGTGTGTTCACATAAACACTACGCAGAAAAAGTAAATAAATATAGGCTGTATTTGCCAACTATTATTTTTGCTTATTTATTTATTCATTTGTCTTATATACCACCCCATAAGAGGGACGTGGTGGCATTTTGGGTTAAACCGCAGAAGCCTCTGTGTTGCAAGGTCGGAAGATCAGCAGTCGTAAGATCGAATCCACACAACGGAGTGAGCTCCCATTGCTTATCCCAGCTCCTGTCAACCTAGCAGTTCAAAAGCATCTAAAAATGCGAATAAATAGGTGGGAAGGCAACGGCGTTCCATGTCTAGTCGCGCTGGCCACGTGACCATGGAAACTGTCTACGGACAAACGCTGGCTCTATGGCTTGGAGATGGGGATGAGCACCGCCCCCTAGAGGCGGACACGACTGGACTAAATGTCAAGGGGAACCTTTACCTCTACCTTACCACCCCACAGTGCCCACATCTGGGCAGTTTACAATATAGTTATGCAAGGAACGTTTTGACCCTTGGCAAGCTGGATACTCACTTTACCGACCTTGGAAGGATGGAAGGCTAAGTCAACCTTGAAGCTGCCTGAACCCATCGGGATCAAATTCAGGTTGTGAGCAAAGGCTCACAACTTAATCACTGTGCTACAGGGCACTTTTTTTTGCTCCCTTATTTTATTAGATACAAAAGTAAACTAACTGTTACATCTCAGAACAGCAGTATTAATTTTGTGTGCAAGACTACCATGAATACCAGAGATATAACATGTTTCAATGTCATTTTGTTTCAGATTTCAAGAGTAACTTCAGAGCAGCACCCATCCGATCGGTTGATGTTTATAATATTATGTGCAATGTTGCAGGGATACAGCCACTGCCGAACAATGGATCCTGGTCGAGAGTGGCGTGTATGTTAAAAAATAATGCCAGTTTGGCACAGACATTCCAGTGGAGCAGCTCTGTGCTGGCACTAATTCTGTTTGTGTTGTTTGTATAACAGACCTTGTTACTCTGGTTCCAATACAATGTCAGTCAGTGTATCCAGTTTTTCCCCCCTATTTGCCACTTGAATAGCAGCTTTAACAGAATGCTGTCTGGAAAAAATTATACAAATTCAGGCCCCCAAAGCCCTGCCTACTTTCAAGTGCTTATGCACTCTAAGAAACAAGAGATCTATCTATCTATCTATCTATCTATCTATCTATCTATCTATCTATCTATCTATCTATCTATCTATCTATCTATCTATCTATCTATCTATCTATCTATCTATCTATCTATCTATCTATCT